CTAACCCGTTGCTTCTTGTGAACAGAGAGCAGCATGCTGCCCGGCCCCTGTGTCAGGGGCATGGGGAAGAAAATAGGCTGTTTGCATTTTGTATTTCCCGAGGCATGACAAGGCAAATGAGGTGGACCTCATCCCTTGTTCCAGCAACACAGAGGAATGGGTTTTCATAGATTCATAGATTCTAGGACTGGAAGGGACCTCGAGAGGTCATCGAGTCCAGTCCCCTGCCCGCATGGCAGGACCAAATACTGTCTAGACCATCCCTGATAGACATTTATCTAACCTACTCTCAAAGATCTCCAGAGATGGAGATTCCACTGGTTACCCAGTCCTTAGTTTATTATGGCACATATACTGGTCTCTTCCTCCTCCCCTGGCCCTGCTTTATTTACTCTGAGTCTCCGCCTAGAAAACATCCCTGGATCTTGCACCTTACTGGGCTGTTCATTCCTGTTCTCATGGTGAAGACAGACACCCCTGTCATTCGATGGACATTTCCATCCGGACCAGATAAAGCAGGAGGGAAGACGCCGTCAGGAACAATCCTGCCTATGAAGAGGGAGGGATAAGATGATGTATGAGGCCTTGTCCATTTGTCCTTTCTACGGTTCAGTGAGCAAATCACGTTGCATGGGGATAGAGGGGCTGGTGCAGATAAGAACGGACACACACCAGAGCTCACCATTTAAGATGAACCCCAAATGGATTCTTCTGGGGTTCAAAAGAGTTTGGACAACTTTTAAAACAGTTCTGTTTCATTTTGGCTGCTGATCGTGCCCTTCTATTTCTGGTTCTGGACAGAACTGTAGGAATCTTGGGAAAGTGCTTTATTTCAGCCTTGGCCGGAAGTGAGAAGTACCAGGAATCTTGGGAGAGAACCTGTTCTTGTGAGATGTCCGACCCAGGGCTGCAAATCCAGAGGGGTGCATGGCTTGCATAAGGTACAATGAAGTATTTGAGTTGGTCTTGGGGTTAAAACACAGCATGGCGGGCCAGGAGACCTGGGTTCCTGGGCCAGGAGACCTGGGTTCCTAGCCCAGATTGGATCAAGATTTTTAAAAATGGGCGCTGAAAGTTAGGTTCTTAAGGTAATATTTAGGCATTTAAATAATGGTAAGCATCCATGGACTTCAGTGAGAGATGCCGCATGTTTTTAGTGCGTTTGAAAACCAGGACTTTTTATTTAGGAGCCTAAGTACGAATTGAGGGGGTGATTTTCAAAAAGCATGTTCATCCTACCTAGTTCTTAGACAGCGCTTTGCATCAATGGATCTTAAAGCGCTTTACAAAGAAGATCAGTATCCTTATCCCTATTTGACAGGTGGGGAAACTGAGGCACAGGGAGGAAAGTGACTTGTCCAAGGTCACCCAGCAAAGCGGCAGCAGAGCTGGGAACAGAACCATGGTCTCCTGAATCCCACTCCAGAGCACTAGGCCAAACCGCCTCTCCTCTTCCTGTGGAAATCGACGATAAAGCTTCCATTGACTTCAGTGGGAGCTGAGTGAGGCCAGTGCTGAGTGCTTTGGAATAGGAGCCAAGCCTTGGTATTGTGATGCTGCAGAGATGATTTGAACGGTGTTGGGATCTCTGGATAGAAAGTCTGATTTTTCAAATCTTCTAACGTTCGCCAGTTGTTAAATGTAATTAACTGCTCTGATTCGCTTCAGAGATCGGTATTGCACAGTGTAGTACTTAGCAAGGAGCCAGCTTTTAAGCCACACATACACAACGCGATTTTTCTTGGATTTTACCTCTTTAAAAACAATCCATCCTGTAGCTTTATCACCCCCTGTACAGCAGCCATATACATGATTAAATGAGCCACTCATTTGTGGTTGCTTCAGTACCACTGTAATATCCCCTGACTTCAGCCCCCGCTGCAGTGTGAAGCTAAAAAGTACAGGAGGAAATGAAATCTAGCCTTTGCAAAGAATTTCCAATGCAGCATTTCTGTCTGAATGATCTTTGCAGAGGGGGGAGGGATAGCTCAGTGGTTTGAGCATTGGCCTGCTAAGCCCAGGGTTGTGAGTTCAATCCTTGAGGGGGCCACTTAAGTATTTGGGGCAAAATCAGTACTTGGTCCTGCTAGTGAAGGCAGGGGGCTGGACTCGATGGCCTTTCAAGGTCCCTTCCAGTTCTAGGAGCTAGGATATCTCCATTAATTAATTAATAAATAAATAATAAGAAGCTCCATGTACAAGAGCCAGTAGTGGAGAGATCTTAAAGCAGAATAGCACAATCCTCAATATTAATCGCAAATCAGACTCAAATGAGCCTGGGCTGACTTAATTAAACCCTTCACCGCTTCCTACCCCCACTGCTGCCCTCAAACTCCTACGAATAGAAATTGATGGATGTATTTCTCCATGCAGGTGTACAGAATATTCTTGCCACCGGCAATGGATTGTTGAAATTCCTTAAACACTGCTTGACCTCAGTGTTTGTGGAGTACACGAGAGTGTGACTGCACCAGATAAGGACTTTGGTCACTCTAAAAAGCACGCATCAGGCTATAACATTCAGCCTGTGGGTTGTCATGGCTTTGGGCTGATTTTGTCTTTCTGGAATTGGGCCCAGTTTTTAGTAACGGTAAACCTTTATTGTGTGTAAGAAAGGGTTGTATCGTATTGATTCACAGCGACGTGCAATTTGTCTGACAGGTTATGGGTTTAGTGCACAGGGTATTATTTTGCTTTATCGCATTATGGTCATGCCCAGAGGCTTCAGCCAAGCTCAGGGCCGTATTGTACTGTATGCTGCATGTCCACGTACAAGCGACAGCGCCTGCCTTGAAGAGCTTGCAGTCCAGCAAAGGAAGTATTGTTACTTCCATTTTACAGATGAGGAACTGAGGTTAAATGATTTACCCAACTACACATAGGAAGTCTGGGGCAAAACCAGGAGTTGAGCCCAGCTCCTTCCATCCGCACACAGACTGTCTGATACGTTACTTCGTGCCCCCTGTGCAGAGCAGACAATCTCCTGGGGAGAGACGGCTCTCGCGGGCGTTCAGCTTGCACTGTGTGGGGCTCCGTGGAAAGCGGTAGTGTGTGGAGCGCTGAGATGCAGAAGTTCTGGATTGGAAGGCATTGCTCTTTTTGTTGCCTCTTCATGCATTCTTAGCTTCAAAGAATGGTACTGGGCGCTAAGCGGCGTTGCCACGCTCCAGCATTTCCAGGGTTTCTGAGTCCTCAAGCATACATCAGCTCTGCCTTATCTGCCTACCTCCTGGAAGATGATGAAAGGCCCAGAAATCAGTCAAATAACAGTACAGAGGAACACGCCTCCTCCAAATCATATTTCAAATCTGTAGGAAGCATGAAAGGAAAGTTGGTCCTAGGAATATGGCACTGGGCTCTCACAAGATTTGGATTCAGTTCCCAGCTCTGCAATATGCTTCTTATGCAAGTCACCCAGTGTCCATGGGCCCCAGTTGCCCACCTGTAAAATGGAATAATACTTCCTCTGTTTGTCTTGTCTGTTTAGACTATGAGTTCTTCGGGACAGGGATTATCTTTTGCTAGGAGTACCTGCCTCCTCTAGCACAATCAGGTGCCAGTCTAGGCGCTACTGTGAGACAAGGAGATACTAATGGTACTGTAGCCCTGCCCACGAGATCCGTAACTTGTCATACAAAGTGCATCAGTGTGAATCAGTCTGCTCCACCCCTTTACTGCAAGCCAGAAAGGTTTTCTGATCTGTTAACCGTTTGGCCCGAAGTCAGAGGTGATGTCAATTGTCGTGGAAGGAACACCATGTGGAACCCCCTGTAGTATTTCCTTGGGGGGGAATGTCCCTTTAAAAAGAACCCTGGAAGGAGAGACTTAGAAGCAGCCCCTGTGAGCAACACCAGGGGTCAGAGGCAGCAGCCTAGCCAAGTTTGGGGCCAAAGCACATGGCCCCAGCAGCGATAAGAGATGGCTCCTTTACAGGCGGCTATCAGCTGTTCTGGATGCTGTGAGCCACGTCACGAAGTGGGGGAGGCTGCAGCTTCCCCTGTGTTTGTCCAGGCCCTAGCATGTTCTGGACTACCACCGTCTAAAGTCCGTGGGTGTAACTTACACACCAAGGGGGAAGCAAGAGGTGAAACAGGAAAAACAATTCACGCGAGCGAGGGCATACAAAGGTGAAAGATAAAGCTGCCCTTTCCCTAATGGGTCTCACATCTCCTTACACTTTCCCTGTAGCTGCTTTCCTTCCTCTAAGCCACTTCCCCTTTCCCCCCACGTCACATACATCAGTTTACACCCACCTGTTGGCGTGTACTTTCACCAGCGGTTTTGTCACGTCTAAATCTGGTCTGTTCCATTTAACGCTGCTTTTCAACAGAGATGGTATTCGGTCCATACCATTACAGATGACTTGGGCACCGCGTGCATTTCAGTTAAAAACTTGGCAGATCCATTGCTAATCAATGCTGTTTTTCTTAGACTTGGCATATGTGTGCAGTATATGAATTGGATTTACAGAATGTGCTTGTGGACTGGTCATTTCTGTCAAGAGTGTTATCATGGAAACGTCAATATGCATATTTAAGGCACACTTCAACCTACACCTGTTATATAGGCAACGTCCTTGTTCGGTGTCACTAGTTAGTGAATGCATATAATGAAATCATTCGTTCTGGATTACATGGGTCACGTCCTGTTCCCATTAGGCTTCATGTAGATCAATGGTTCTCAAACTTTTGTACTGGGACCCCTTTCACATAGCAAGCTCTGAGTGCGACCCCCCCTTATAAATTAAAAACACTTGTTTATATATTTAACACCATTATAAATGCTGGAGGCAAAGCGGGGTTTGGGGTGGAGGCTGACAGCTCACGACCCCCCATGTAATAACCTTGTGACCCCCTGAGGGGTCCCGACCCCCAGTTTGAGAACCCCTGATGTAGATGAACTGAGCCCTCGTGGGTATCATTATACTCTATAGTGTCACGTGTTGCAGTTAAGCACTAAAGCCTGGTAGGTCTCAGTTAACAGTGAGTATCTCTTTGCAGGCTCCCATTCGACGGTTTACAAGGATCCCATGATTCTTGTCGGCCCAGAGAACCTCACGCTGACTGTGCACCAGACAGCTATCCTGGAATGCATTGCAACTGGGAATCCCCGGCCCATCGTGTCCTGGAGTCGACTAGGTAAGCAACTGAGTGGCAGGAATTTCTTGGCACTGCTGATTGTCCTCGCACGGGAAATAATTACGTGCCATTGATTATTTATTGCACAGGACAATTCAGCCTTCTCTTTACTCTTCAGGTTAATTGTAGACTCAGAACCCCTTTTATCTTTCTGTCTAGGGTTTGTACTGCCTTCCGAGTTCCTATTTCAACTTGTTATTGAGGTGGGTTGGTTGAAGCCAGACATTTTATGAAAGGCGATAATTTTATCTTTCCAAAAAGTGACAGCCTTTTCTTTACTTACATCGAAAGCATCAACGTTGACTCCAGAGAAGTGAATTCATACACAAACATGTCTTCCAAGTAAAACAGACTTGAAAGAAAGTGTCTGTCTATTGAGTGATTTAAAATAAAACCAGGGAATGGGAGTGGTTAATAGTTGCACACATGAAGCTCTGAAGAATAGATTCTCAGTGGTGAGGTCAAGAGTATTTGTTAATCAGCATGAAAAACTGAGCCACTGTCAAATTCCATCACCCGAGTGGAGTAGTGCGGAGTTTTTTGCAATCGAAAGATGAATGTTATTTTAAGCTCTGCCTGCTCGACGTTAGCCCAGAGATCTGCATACAGTGGAAGGGTGCTTTCACATTTAACTGCCAAACAGAAGTCTTTCCCGAATAAATAGCTGATGGCCTTTGTATTGCACTCTGGTACCTGAAAATATCTGTGTATTTGAACTGAACCCAGTGAATGTTTCCAGACCTTTGAGCTGTTCCTCCTCGGAGAAGCACATTGCAACCATTTCATTCTCACAAGATCTTCCCACCAGGATATTACTTGTTCCCCAAAGTGGCTCTGCAGGGTTATGGGCTACGTTTTTGGGAATGAAACACACTCTAAGTAGCTATGCTCACCCTAGACTTCAGCCACACTCCTTGCTTTTTATTCATGAATCTCTGGTTCTCAGACTTTGATTAATGGTGGTTAGCTTCCCAGTCTAGAGCCTTCAGGGAAACAGCAAGAATACACTTATATAGTGGTAATCCAGAAAGATTTTTTTCACACTGCCTTTTCCATTCAGATTCTATAGACTGTTAATACCACCTACCCAAGTCTGTCGCTAACTGACCTTTTCCCCCTGAGCAATAATCATCATACTGATGCTGTTTTAAAAACCTGCTGGATACGCTACGCCACGGTGTTGCGATGTTCTTTTGGGCACAAGGCCGCTCTACCTTGACTCTCAACTATAATAAACTACTTTATAATTGCCCTAATTATATCAGCTCATTGGCTTGTTCAAAACACTTGTCTCCATAGAATGGTGTAGTAATGAAGATATAATAGCGTCAAGCCATATTACCCCATATAGATTCAGTCCAACACTACCATCTATCAAAAAAAACCCACAACTTCTCTGTCACGGCATTTGCTGTAGAGTTACCGAGTCAAAAGAAAACCTCACTCTTTTTATTTCCACGTAAGTGTGAACGCTTCCTCCCAAAGAAACACATTCTTTTGTCTAATTCTGCAATGATGTGAAAGGTTGCTGACGGGTTAATGGATCTAGGGATCCTTTTGGCTCTGTTTTGAACTATTTCAATAACGTGTGAAAGTATCAGACATATTCATATTCCCTCACAGTCAGGAGGAGGGGAAGGGAGACAATACAACTTTGAGAGGATTCCAAGTAGGACCAAACCAGTTGAGGAGAGTGGGGGAGGGTGGGGAGGGGAGCGCGCATTGAAGGAGAGGTATTGTCGTGCCTAATTGAGTTTATACATGTGTAGCTTCTTCATGTATGAAGTTTACCTGTCTGAGGCACCTCCTAAGACGCCAGTTCATGAAGAGTAATTGCAGGAGGACTCCTCTTAAATAACTGTTAAAGCAACACAGCTTGGAGAACAAAACTTTCCACACAGTACCATAAACTATAAAATATAGGAGCAGTGGGGTCTTAAATGGAGGCAGCCCACTTAGATTAGGCTCAGTTCAGTTTTATTTAAATAAAAACTAATATCAATGAATAATTTTCACACCATTTTTTTAAAAATCAGAAAAAGTTCCCATTGAAGTATTTCACTTTTGCAGGATTTTGCCGTTTCATGGGGGTCCTTTGCACCCCTCAAATTTTATTTTGCTGGCCATTTCAATGAAATGGCAATTGTTTTACTCAGAAATGAGCACAAATGTGAATTTTTGCATTGTTTTCTGTGTAAAAACTGTCTTCTCTTAAACAAATGGAACCACTTTTTGCTCTGACTTTGCCAAAAGCCTGGCTGATTTTCAGTGGGAAATGGACCCAGTTTTGTTTGGAAAAAAAAATCACTCAAATCATGGGTCAATTTTTAAACGATATGCAATAAACTTTTCCTTTTATTTCCTTGTGAATATTTTGTATCCCTCTACCACAAAGTTCTTGTGTTTCCCACTGCATGAAATGCTTTGCAAAGTGAAATGTTCATTAGAGGATTTGTTCCGAGAGAAGTATAAAATCATTAAGGTTTTGGTTTGTTCAAGAAAGATAAGATTTGTTCTTTCACAACTACACACTCGAACCTGAACCCATATGCGTACAAAAATGAATCCCCAGGGAACTTATTGCAAAGCCAGCAGAATGAATAACAATTCTTAATGTGTTACGTATCAGCTTATCCTTTAACTGACAAGCTGCTGATCTGGCCTCCATCAAAGGTACTGAGACAAAATAACACACTATTTAGAGAGATCTAGAAAAGTGAGACAAGGAAGAAAGGGCAGTGATTATCTGATAGCGTTATACAGAACTCGTCAGAAAGGGTTACACAATGGGAAGGAAATTACTAAAGAGAGAGCCATTCAACACATAAACCATACAACAGTTGTAGGAGCCAATTAATTGGTAACTTATTGGACACAGAAGCTTGCAATAGATGGCTGACTGGTTGACAGGAGCACCATTCCCTGAAGTGTTTAGAAATAATAGAGTAAATTTCACCACTTCACACACTGAATAGTCAACTGTTGCAATGTATTCTAAATATGCTAATACATGGTGCCCAATGTCCGATGGAGTAGAAGACCCATGTGTCTAATAAGTAGAAGGCTACTATGCCAGGGTACAAAGAATTCACAAAAGACCTAAATGGTCAACATTAGAAAGTTGTTACTTTCTTTCTACTTGCTACTTATAAAAGAAAGGCATCCGCGTTGTTGCATATTCATATCGCCTGGCACGTTTTAACGAATTTCTGTAATTGGTGCTGATGTGCCAGTCATTTGCTTAGTAGCCGGAACAATGGAATCCGTTACAGTGAAAAAGCATCCCAGATACCTTGGAAAATTAAATCACTTCTATCCCAAATTGCAGGGATCTTTCATCCAGATTTCACTCTAATGGGAATTTTTAAAACTTGATTTGAGCACTGCAAGGAGGTTCTTTGAGGGTGTCTCCTATTTGGAGTATAGCCAGCTTCAGTGTGACCAGTGTTTATTAATTAGTAACCCAGCCGCTCTTCACTACCAGCCGAAACCCACACCTTAAAAACAACATGCCTTTTAAGGCCCTATCAGTATTCCACCCTGCTGGTCGCTAGTTGGTTCATAGTGTTGTTTTGTCACAATCGCATCAGTATAAAGTGAAATGGAAATGACCTAATTCTGCAGTCTCAGAGTAAGTCCACATAGCTAGGGCTCAGTTCCTCCTATAGCCCCTAGAGAAGCCGTGTGACACTGGGACTCATAATGGTGTTTCATCTCCTGCTCAATCGGACAGCTTGCTGGATGTCAAACGATGGTCCGTGAACCACCTATTCTAGTGGTTCATTGGTAGTTCTTTGATTCACTAGTCATCATTTCTAAGAGACTATAGTCTAGCAGACAGTGAATGTCACGGGGTAGGAAGATGTAGGAGGTCCACATGATGGTTTTTGTCTTACGAAGTCATTTATAGAATTAAAACATCAGAAAGCCGCTGGCACGGCTGATTTCAGAGGACGCAAAATGTCCTACTTATTATTAGAGAGGCCGTTGTGGTTGAGTTTCTGGAAGGGACTGCTGCATGTAAATTTGCTGGGCTCCTTGGGCCCCTGTGAAAAGGAATGCTATTTCCAAACACTAGTCCTAAAAGGGAAAGGGAGGTGCTCGGTACCTTGCAGAAGGCACATAGTACACTGTAGATTCGCACCCTGTCCCGGGTAGGCAGTTTGGGGATCTGAGCCCCCGTCTCCATTTGAGTCTGACAGATTGATTCCAAACTTCTGTAGTGCATGTGGTGGTTTGAGCCATTTCACCAACCCAGAAGAAACCACAGAGCTCGGGTGAGAGCCGGGGGCTGGCTGCATGTGCTCTGGGAAAGGGTGTCTCAACTCTTCTGAGCTGGCATTGCAGCGGGAAGGTATTGCAGCACACCCATCGCTCTGCATGGTTGGGGAGTTCTCACTCTCGTTTGGATGCATTGCCTCTTGTCCTTGCTAAGAGTGTGAGCTCTTCAGGGCATCTTTTCATTACCTGTTTGTATGGTGCCAGTGGGGCCCTGGTCCCTGGATAGGCTTCCAAGGCATTATCACAAGCCAAGTATGGTACGTTCATGTTCTGTTTGGGTTTGAGTTTGCCAGACTGGTTAGACTTGGAAGGCTGGCTTTTTTGGAGATTGTCCAGTCTCTGTCGTTTTAAAGGGTGGATAGCTCTTCAGCAAGCTTTGGCAAACAGGATACAGTGAACAAGCCCGTCCGGATTGGCTCTCTGCTGCTCGCTGATTCAAAATAAGTTAAAGGTCACATCAAACATTTACTCCTCTGAGCCCCTGTAGCGTAGGGAGCCAAGCAGCAGCGTTTAGAGCAAGTTAGCTCTGGCCTCACCTTGGCTGGGGCTGGATGTTTTTCATCTTTGTGATATAGCCTATTGCAGTGGTTGTCAACCTTTTTTTCATTCGTAGACCCCTACAATTTACAAATGGAGGAGGGGGGACCCCTTTGGAAATCCTAGACATAGTCTGCAGACTCCCTGAAGTCCATGGACCCCCCAGTTGAAAACCGCTGTTGTATTGAAAGATGGGGACCTGGTGATTAAAGTCAGGAAAGCAGGTTTCCTGGGTTGTGTTCCTCGCCCTGTCATTAACTCGCTGAGACTGTGGGCAAACCTCGGTGTGGGGTTTCCCTCTCTGCACAATGGGTTTGAGACTATGTGTCGACCATGCCAGGGGGTTGGGAGGGGCAGTTCATGTTTGTGGAGCCCTCTGTGCTCGTCAGAGGAAAGGAGCCAGACCTCTGCAAAGGATTATTTTTGTGCTCTCTCTGCGACTGAGAGATGGGCCTTGATGATAACACGGAGGGCTAGATCCGCGTGCACCTAACTCCAGGAGAGGGTTCATGGCTGTGAATCCTGAATGGAGGGAGGCACCACACTCTGGCCCAGCTGGGGACCTAAGTCACTCGGAGGGGCGGGGCTTGGGCCACACCCCATCCCGTGACATTTCTTACACTACATCGCTCAGGGCTGTGAAAAATGTTATACCGGAATTAGGTCGACCAAACGCCCACTGTAGATGCAGCTAGGTCTCCTTCCATCGACTTAGCGACTGCCTCTTGAGGGGGTGGGTTTACTACAGAGACGGAAGAACCTTTCCATCGCTGTAGTGTCTACACCAGAGCTTCTCAAAGCTGGTCCGCCGCTTGTTCAGGGAAAGGGTTGTTTGTTCAGGGAAAGGGTTGTTCAAGGAACAACCCCGGGAGTCCGGGCCGGTTTGTTTACCTGCTGCATCCGCAGGTCCGGCCGATCGCGGCTCCCACTGGCTGCGGTTCGCCGCTCCAGGCCAATGGGAGCTGCGGGAAGTGGCGCGGGCCGAGGGAT